GTTACCAGCAATGATATTTTGTTTGGCATCAATTGTACCATTACTAGAGACTTTATAGCCTGCGCTGGCAAAACGGAAAAGTACCTTAGATTGCAACTCAATTGAATTCAAGCTGCAAATCTGACCTCAGTACTTCACAATTTACATTGAAAGGCATGATAAAAATATCCAGTTTTGTTTGAATGGCACTGAAATCTTGAAATCAGCATTTGAACTCAAATGCAGTTTTTTCAAGCCATCTTCATAATTGTTAAGCTTCTCTTCATTTACTGAGGGTATTGAATTTAACCTCGAGAAATGAGACAAGTCGTTCTTAGCCAGCTGCCCAGCAAACAGATTAAGTTTTAGTTTAAAAGTTTTGAGATGGGCCCAGATATCATCAATAAATTGATTTTACATTTGCATCTTGAAATTCAAGTTGCTCATATGACAAAAGAAGGTCTGCGAAAAATGCAAAGTCCGAAAGCCATTCTTTGTCTTCTAACATTTCACACTCCGCAGATCACCGTTTCTCATGGAAGAATGACACAATGTCGTCTTTCAGCTGCCAGACTGGCTCGAAAACACATCCTGCACTAAGCCACCTTACTTTCGTGCAATACAGTACATCAGAGTATTCATATTGCACAGACCGAAGAAAATATCGAATTTGCCTATGAGTAAGCCCGCGAGGTCAAGCTTCACGACTGCATCAAGCACGGGTTTCATACTCAATGCAGATTTACACAAAGGATCTTGATGTAAAACACAATATAGAAAAACAACATTGTTCCTGGGATAGATTTTATTAAAGCTTTCAAGAAATTCAGATTTTTCTTTCTGTCATATTTGGTGCTCCATCAGTCGTAATATTGCTTATATTTGTTATAGGCACTTTCAAAGTTAAAAGCCCTTCCTAAAAATCACGAAAACTATCACATCCTGTTCTAGTTTCTTTTAAAGAATGCATGCATGCCACTTCCTCAGTATTTACAAAGTTTCTCATCAACACCTGTTATAAATAACACTAATTGAGCAGTTTTCATCTATAGAAATGGAGCAAAATTTAAACTGGTCAATCTTTGATCGTAATCAAATTTTTACCAACGTCTTCGATTCTAGAAGTCTCATTTTTTGAGATAAGCTAACAGTTTGAATTTTTTTTTTTTTTTTTTTTTTTTTTTTTGTCTGGACATAAAAGATCACAAACTTGGTGCATGCATTGTTTAACAAACTTCCCATCACTGAGAGCTTTATTATTTGTAGCAATATTGTATGCTAGAATGTAACTTGCATGTGTAGCTGCTGCTTGGGAACTGTTTACCTTCTTGAAAAAATTTTGTCGGCCTGGTATTTTTTTAGAAAGACTTTCTGCATTTTTTTTTCCCATATTCAACATTGTTTCGTAATTGGAATTATGATTAGATGTGAAATGACGAGAAATGTTATATTCTTTGAAGACTGTTACAGCTTCATTGCAGATGAGATGCACTAGTTTATCTTTTACAACTGTCAAAAATATTTCCAGGTCCATTTATCATATAAAGCACAGCACTCAACTTTACGTTTTTGGTACCCATTTTGGGGTTGAAATATTTTACAAATAACCCAAAGAAGTCCTAGCTACATTATACTTTTAATTATTTTACCACTATTCACAATGATGCTATGTGTCCGCAAAATTTCCATACGCAGTCAATAATATTAGGACTCGGGCCAAAAGAAAGAGCCGCTGGCTGGATCTTAAAATGCGCAGTCTGAAATATGTGAGGTCTAATTCACCTATATTGGATTCCTATTTGTCTGCTCCCCAAAAAAGAAATAACGCTTGTGCCAAACAGCTATAACCAACAAAGCACTTCCACCTTTAACACTTCACTAATTGAAAGCTGTCTTTGCATACTATTTCCGTCTATTTATATTTTTAGAACAAAAATAGAGATAAACTGCTTTAAAATGAATTCTGAAGAGAATTTTTCTTGGCTTCTGTACGAACGTATCTCGCATAACTCAAAAACGAGTAGCCTCAGAATGTTGAAATTTTGTATATAGGACTGCTATAACATGTAGATGTGCACCTCGTATTTTGGTTGTAATCGGCCGCACCAAACGTATATAAATATATTTATATATATATCCACTCTGTTACCCGGCTCAGTGATCTCAGTTTCTTTACTCTTATATGTTGTAAATTGTACATTTTTTGCTTTAAAAATGATTGAATTATATTGTTCTTATCTTCAGGTTAAGGTTTTTATGCCTTTAGTAAATTTGTATGCAATATTTTTAGAATTATCAACAATTTTAAAGTTGTTTAAGTGCCGCTAAGCCTAATAATTTTTTTGATGGCGGCCATTGCTTGTTTACATTTGAAACAGCAGACTAGTGGATTTGTTGCCAATCTAGAGAAACTTAGCTTTGCAACAACAAAGATAACGCCTTCATTTATTGCGAATTAAATCGTGCTTAATCCTTTTTGGAATTTTTTCGAGGAAATAAGTGTTTAAGATTTACTTCATAATTTTTAATACAGATATTTTGAGTTTTTATGTATTTTTGCCTTGTCGTGAAGTGAGAATTGAATTAATTGAATGAGAAATACTCAATCGTCTGTGAAAAACTTTTCCTTTTTTGTTTTGTTTGCTTAATTTCTTTTATACATCGTTCCGGCTTTATTATAGTACTTGAATAGAACATGTGGCAACGATTAGATAATTCTTTAAATGATATAAATTTTGTGCATTCTGTGTTATAATATGAACGAAATATAATACTGTTAAGTGAATCTAGTGCCAGAGTATCGCTATGGTAAACAAATAGAGTGAATTTTAAAGAATGCATTTGTTCTATTGTGGTTTATGCGTTGTCGGCGAAGTAGATTTAATTCAATCCAATAAGTTTAAATGAAATGCAAGAAAAAATGTGTATAATTTAATATTCTGTACAAGGAAGTTATGTGGTTTACACATCAGATTTTTTTCGTATGTACGTACATGTGCATATATGTATGTATCTCACATAACTTAAAAACAATTAGCTGTAGAATGTTGAAATTTTATGCATGGAACTGCTGTTACATCTATTTGTGCATATCTCTTTTTTATTGCAATCGGCAAAACCGAACCTACTTCCAGGGTGGTTATAAAAAAAATAATTGCCACAATATATGAACCCCTAATGGTCTATTCGCTCAATCAGTCAAAATGAAATTCCAGATATTATTCTTTGAAGATGTACGATCGAGATTATGATGATTTAAAACAATAGAGCTCTCACGCTTACAGTTGCAGTGAACCATAAGTGTGAACACACACATTCGGTCACATTTCGAAATTTTTGAATGGTAACACTCACCTCTTTTCCTGCACAAATTGATCAGCACGTAGAAAAACCATAAATGGTATTGAAACGCATATGATGAAAATTGCCGCCATAAAGCATTTGCAAAGAACAGCATTCATTATAACTGACCAATGACAACATAAGACAAGAGAGGGACTAAAAAAACTTTTGTAGGAATTAATAAAGTGCCCACCTATGCGGACAATAACACATTATGCTCGCGGGAGATTTTGGACAATAATGACGAATATAACATTGCGGAAGAAATCTATATAACTTCATGCTTTATGGCATCTTTCAATCCTGACAAATCTCGTGGATTTAATGTGTAAACCTTTAGGCTTCAGATAACCCCATAACCAGCAATCAATCCATTGGAGTGAGGCCGGGGAATCACGGAGGTCCCAAAACTGTCAATGGTGCTTTATAATGCTGTTCTTTGCCAATGTTTAATTCCGGCAATTTTTGTCATATTTGTTATTTAGGTTTTTTCAATGCGCTAATCAATTTGTGTAGCAAAATAATTGTGTGTTGGCATTTCAAAATTTTGAAGTTTTTTAAACTGTAACCATAACCGTGAGAGCTTTATTGTTTTAAATAGAATACAGGGAACCTCGAGATATGAGTTTAATTCGTTCCAGCATTGAGCTTGTATATCAAATTTCTCTTATCTAGAAACAAACTTGAAATTAATGGAAATTCAGTTAATCTGTTCTGAACTCCCAAAAATATCAACATAAGAATCAATTATTCCACTAAGTAACAATGGTAAATAACATAACCTTTGTGATAGCTTCCGACACTGACCTTTTAACTACTTCTCGTTAATCCACACCAACAACAGTTTCACAACATCTAGGAGTTTTGGATGGTGTTTGGAAGTAACGGCAACTCCTTTGGCCACATTAAGTTTCTTAATTTCTTCCTTCTTCAGAATAGTGTAGATTATCAATGTCTAACACCTGTAAGTCTTCGCCAGTATCATTACTCTTACCCCACGCTTAAGTTTATGTATGATTTCTTTCTTAATTTCAATGGCCAAAACTTCCTTCTTTTTTTGGGGGGGGCAGCAGTATCTGAGGCAACAATCTTCTTGGGAGTCATTGTGAAATAATTATTTTCACTTTAAATTTTAAAAGCAATTAACTCGCTAGTACACAAACATGTAGATCAAAGAACACTGAGTGATCTGACGAGGGGATTCCCCCGAGTCGAGCCAGATTGGGAAATGCTTCACGCATACCAACAGCCAGGCTCATTGTTCGTTACTCGAGTCAATGCTCGTATTTAGAGACGAAAGTTTCGCTCGTACTTTCCATGTATCTAAAATTTCTCATGGTTCCTCATGGAGGTGCTCGTATCTTGAGGTTCCACTGTATTCTTTTCATGTAATTAAAAAGGGAATTTATTTGGACTTAACTACGTTTGTGTTACAGTTGATTGCTGAAGAGAATGTTAGTTAAGTATATAAATATTGAGAAACACTGCATTATTCATTGTAAATTGGCAAGTAGGTACGTAAATAATCAGTAGTAATTTTTTTTTTTTTACTACTTATTCATGTAATGTTTGTCATGCCTCTACCAGTTTGTATTCAAACGATGAAATGTCTCTCCTCTGATTTTTGCTTATGCTTTTTTGTTCTGGAAAACCAGTATATATTTTACTTTTTTTTTTAGATCGGCAGAATGGTGTATCACTTTGGGTGCCTTTCCAAACTGCAGCCAGTAGTGTAACAAGTTTATATAAAGGTAAAAAGAAACATTTTAAAATTGTGTTCAGTTTTATAAAAATTTAAATTTGTATCAGTAAATTTTAATATGAAGCTTGCAAATTTCTAAACTAATATACTTAGGTGGTAGTTTTATTTGGAACATTCCTTTTAATAACTACTTAATTTCTCAATAAAAATTATTTTTTGTAGCAGTAAGTTTTGATGAAATTAACAGTTTTGACGTAAAAAGCATTAAGCGTATTTCTGATGGGCGCAGGACATCTATGGACCCCCTTGACACTGGCGGAGCTAACAAAGCGGACACTAACAAATAAAACAAAGTTTTCAATGTTTTAATTTTTTGTAAAAATATATATAAAAATAAAAATAAAAAAATATTCTTATTAAAAAATATTAAAAATAAAAACATTCTAAAATGTAACATTAAAAACAGGTAAAAATAAAAACATTCTAAGTTACAACATAACAAAAATTATAACATTCTTTTTTGTGACTTAATATTGGCAAACTGACGTATGATAGTATCACTGTTAAGTTTCTCCAGTGAGCTATATTCAATATATAATAGTGACATTGCATCAAGGTTTTCTTGACTCAAATGAGACTTAGGTATATTTTTATTCTTTTTAGGGCCGAAAAAGAAGGTTCGCCGGATGCGTTAGAAATGGGTATCATTAAATATATTCGCAAATAGAGTTAGAATATTTCAGAAAAGTTGCTTTCGCCGTCTAATTTATGAAAAATTTGCGGTCTGGATAACCACAAATCTTTTATAAATCGTGTTTTTGTTTAAATTTTTGCACAGCACGTGAAAATGAATAATTTCGTTTTGTAAATATTCTTTGGTTTTGTCAATATCATTCTTATATTTCTCACACAAAATGTTAATTGATATTTTGATTTCCTCCTTATCTAGGGTAAAAAAACATTGAAATGCTGATGTTACTTCTTTGAAACATTTAATACTTTTTTTTTCAGGTCTTGAGTAATATTGTTGCATATTACATTAAATACTTCAATTCTAAATCTTTCTTTCACTTCTAAAGTGATTTCATTTTCAGTTGTTTCATTGAAAATACTTTTCTTCTCTTTGCTCTTTTAAGTTCATCTTTATAGTATATGTTCGTAGTTCCTCGCCTTCGGGGGAGGGAGTCTTTCATTTCTAATTCAGTTTCATTAAAGTGTTCTCTTATTTCTGCAACAAAGGTCAACAGAGACATCACCAGTTCTACTCCAGATGATACGTTCAAGTCCACGGTTTATAAAGTTTTGCTGGTTGCATTCACTCGTTCCAAAATGCTCGTCCGAATCGGTGTTAATAGAGCTGTTTCGAAGGTGTCCATTTTATTGTACAGAGCCTTCTTCATTTCTAACTGCTAACTAGGTTTCTCTTCTGTATTATTGCTTAGTTGAAAAAAAATTATTTCTTTGTAGTTTTTATGCAAAGCGTTTACTGCTTCAAATAGAACAGACCATCTAGTTTTAACCAATCATTTTATAGAACATTTACAGCTTTGCAGTAAGTTTCATCTTTGATGGGAAGCCAAAAAGAACGTTTAAATACTTTGAATGGTTGTAAAATAGTCAGTTATTTCCATGCTGGATTTACATACAAAGTTAACTACAAGATTTAATAAATGATTTGAAACAATGGCTCATAAATAGCATTAGGTGACAATTCTTGTATTCTTTCCTGTGTAGCACCCCGAAATACTTGCGGCATTGCCATACATTTGTCCTCGACAATTTTCAATATCTAATCCTAACTCATTCAATTTCTGTATAACTATTTCTGTTAAATATTCTCCAACTGAATAAATCCCAAGAAACTCTCAATTACTGTATTGCCATTCACATAACTAAGAATAAACATAAGCTGGTCTTGATGACTTATATCTGGGGTGGAGTCTACAATAATGCAAAAGTATTTCTTGTATGAAAGTTTCTAAACGTTTTATTTTCATCAGTTCCAGGAATTCATTGCATATTTAGTGAGATAGATAGCTTACCAACCCTTTCCTTTATTTGCATATCCCTGTACATGTTTGGATAATAAATCATCAAACTGAGCCAAATACACAAGACAACTTAAGTAATTTCCTTTATGACGACTGGTTATATCCTTGGTGGATCCACTTAAAGCTAATCATTAAGAAGCAAGTAACTTGATGGTAGCAAAAATTCTTCTCAAAATCTTCACCCAGTACTCACTTCACGTTCAACTTGTTCTTTCAAACCAATATCTAGTATTCCAATAAGGGATGATCCTGTTATTAATGCAACCATGGAAATTCAAATGAGACTTACTCTCTTTGTGAGATTTGAGGAGAGAGTCAAATGTTCCCAATCAGTACATCCAGAATCAGTAATTTTTTTTTTCCCCTTTTGAAAAAAACTTGCATGGATATCAACAATAAACAGGTTTTACTAAGTGCGTCATATGCAGGGCTGTGGAGTCGGAGTCGGGCAGATTTTGGGGTAAAAGGAGTCGAAGCTGGAGTCACTAAAAATAGGTCGACTCTGACTCCAGTTTTCGTTGGACAGTTTGAATTTGAAATAAAATTAAAATTAATTGAAGAAAATTAATTACAAGCTGAGTTATTATTTTTATTTATGAACTGTATACATTAATAAATAGTTATTTTCTATTTTATTAACATATTAATAAATAACTAAGGGAGGAGCATGGATGTGATATTTGCCATTAGTGATTAAACTGATTCATTTAGTTACAAATCTCACTGATAAATTTAGGTAAACAGCAACAGCATCAACAACTCCTAAAATTGATGCCATTCTTAGGAAGCGAGCAGGAAAAGGAGCAATTACTGATGAAGCAGTGCAATAAGGAAGTACATATTTGATGATAAAGCGATTTAGATAACCCTAATGTTTCATTAACAGAAAGACTGTTGAATGATCTTGCAGAATTGGAAACTTCTTTCTATACCGTATATAGCCACAAAAAAAGCTGTAGTCTGAAGAATTGACAGGAGGAGGGAATGGGATGTTTGTTCTTTCTGAAATGGAGGGTTTATTGCAGAAGAAATCATTTCTTCAATGAAGAAAAGAGAAACTAGTTTGCTAGACAATGAGTTCTTGCTGGGTTCAATATATGTAGATCCGAAACACCGAATTTTCTTGGTTGACGAATAAATTAAAAAGGCAAAGAAAGTCGTCTATGAACTTTCATTAAGAATGCAGTTATTCTCAGAACAATTGGAGAATTCGAATCAGGACAGTGAAACTGCAGACATTGCAATTGAGACTCTATCATCCTTTTCCACCGCTGAATTAGATTTTGAGAAATATTTTTGGATGATATTGAAATGGCTAAGGCAAAGCAAATTAAAATAAAAAACAAAAGACTTTAGATATAAAAAAGAAAAAATACAAACAAGATTTCTACAAGGCCTTTGAAGAACTAGAGAAATATGATTGCGCTTGCAAGACACCTCTTTCAGAAACTTATAAAAATCTATCCTGAAAAGTTAAAAGAAGTAGCCCTAACAGTAATAGCTCTTCCTCCTACTCAAGTTAGTGTGGAAAGACTCTTCTCAGTTCTGAAGTTTATCAAATCGGATCTATGGCCCTCCAACAAAGAAGATCTTGCCAAAGCTATACTGTTTCTTAGAAATAACTAATGTCAGTTTTTCCATTTCATAATAAATGCTAATTAATATAAATAATTTGCTATGCCATCAATTTTTTTTTCTGTATCTATTACTTCTTTTATATTAAAAAAATAAGCTGTAACCCGTGTGTATATGTTTACATATATACGAGGGAGTCGGAGTTGGTCATTTTCCCTACCGACTCCACAGTCCTGGTCATATGTCAGCCAGCCTCTCTTTCCTTTGCCTCCATTAGGTTTTATTCTATAAAAGTTGCTGTAATATAATATAGTTTATCTCCATCATGGTATAGTTCTTCAGTATTTTTTAGGGGGTACTTTCTAATTCTATTTCACTTTCAGTATTTTCTAGGGCTTAATATCACGCCATTTTGATATCACAGGTATTTCTTTAAATTTTTTTGAGTACATCAGATTTATTGTCATTAATGTAGAGCAGTCTATAAAATGTTCTTTCTTATGGGAGAATGTTAAAATACATAAGCATTCAAAGCAACCTGCATGTTCAAGAAGGTGTGGGGTCCTTGACCCAGGCACGCTGGTGTTATACCGCTTCTAAGTGCAACCAACAAACATAAATACCAATGATGAAGGTATCTATGAAAAGGTCATACTAAAAAATGTCAATGTTGTTATCTATTGTACCAAAAGACAGATTTTTCTTCTCATGTAATGAAGGGTAAGAAATTTATAGACATTGTAGAGCTGTCTTTGGAATTTGCTCTAGCCCTTATTTGTTGAATGTATGAATAAGGCATCTTTTAGAGAACTGCTTTCCATGGTATGATGAAACTATTCAAAAATGCATTCTATGTATATAGTTGTGTAACTGGTGTTTTTAATACTAACTAGCAAGTTCATTTTATAGAACAGGCGGAATCTATCATGTGTTGAGACTGTTTTAATTTTCATGGCTTTGAAAGCAGTGTTGCTTGTAAAGATGTTGATAAGCTTTTTGGAGAAACTTCCATGTTAGGGATAATCTGGGACTTAAATATAATGACAGTTTAAGATGTTTTACTAATTACTGGCATGTGAAATGAAAACAACCAAGAGATAAATTTTGTCATACAAAAAATTTTTGATCCCCTTGGTTTGCTGACTCCAACAACATTGCCTTCGAAGCTACTGTTAGTCAAAAATTAACTTGGGATTGTGAATTACTACTAGGTATTGTGTATAAATTTTCTATGTGGTACAAAGATGTACATGAAGTAAAAAATGTAACTTTGCCTTGTTATATGACATTTAATTAATTTTCTGAATTGTATGTTTCTGTTAATGCTGACAAAGGGGCATATGCCGTGTGCATTTTTGCCCAATCAATTAATTCCAAAGTGAAGTTATTAGAGTAAAGTCTAGAGTAGCAACTCTCAAACTCC